CAAGGCGTTGGTCTCTGTCCCGGTTCAGTCTTCAGCGAGGCCGCCTTCGTCGCAGCCAAGTGCTCGCTCGAGCACCGCAACGGCCAGAAGATGGACGACAACTTCAACATCATGGAACGCTTCAGTCTCCAGAAAGCCAATCTGCGACGTCCTCTCACGGCAAGCATCGCCGGTCCGGATGGTGAGCTTCACGCCACAGCTGTCGTCGCGTCGGAAGGTGTAATCCAGGTCTCATTCAAGGCGCTGTCTGGGTCATCAGCACGCTCGTTCGACCTGGGCCGCTGCGAAGTCATTGCCCACAACGGCAATCAGCCCAACGCTGACTCGGACTCCTTCTATATCAGGGCGAGGATGCATGAGGTGCAGCGGTCTTGCAGTAGCAGACTGCCAGCGAGCATCTTCTATGCCCTTTTCTCGCGCGCTGTACAGTACACGTCTGACAACTACCGTTGCATCAGGGAGGCGTTCGTCTCAGATGACTTTTCGGAGGCGGTGGCCGAGGTTGTACCTGTCCACGACCCCGCTAACGTGACTTTCGTGGCGGGATCACCTTACTGCGGCGAGGCCCTGGCACATCTCGCCGGTTTCCTGGTCAACTGCCATCCTAGCCGGTTCTCCTCTGAGGCGGGCGCGAGCTCGAGCTTCATCATGGATAGCCTCGAACGGTTCGAGCAGATGGCGAAGATCGAGCCTGGTCGGTCTTACTGGACTTATGCGCGAGTCTCTGAGAGGGAATCTGACTCGGCTGTCTGCGAGGTTGTCGTCTTTGACAATGCTGACAAGTTGGTCATGAGGACCTGGCGAATGAGGTTCCATGAGGTTCCCAACGCGGCTTTGCTGCAGAACTTGGCTCCCGGCGCAGGTGGGAGACAGCAACAGGACCAGGACCGGTCAGTGAAGATCGGTGGAGGCGCCGCGAAGGTGGTACAGACGCCTCCGCCGGCAGAGAATTTCGATAAGATGGTGACAGAGACGGATAATGAGACGAGAGTCGAGCAACCGTCCGTGTTCCGGGATCAAGATCCACGTCTTGACGATGATAGCAGCCAACAAGCCCCTAGCCAGATCAAGGTCGGCTTGCTTCCAGTCATCCTCGACAGTATTGCCGAAGAGACAGGCTTGGACACGACGGAGCTGACAGAGGATGCCGCGCTGGCTGACCTGGGCGTGGACTCTATCATGGCCGTGGAGATTTGTACGCGGGTTAAGGAGAAGTCAGATTATCCTCTGTCTCCGCTGTTCATGCTGGAGTATCCGACGATAGGTAACCTTGTCCGCTCGTTTGGTACAACAAAACCGCTAGAACAACCAGCGAAGCCGCAAGAGGAAGAAACACTAGACGAGCAAGAAGAAGAGGAGGAACAACAAAAGGCAAAGACGACCACGCCCTCTGTTCAAACTGATGACTCTACGGCCTCCAGAGGGACGCCTGTAGCCGAGCGCACGCCAGATTCGTCTTCTTCTTCATCGGTACTTGATCAAAAGACCACCAGCGACGAGCCTCTTCCAAAAGCCCGAATCGCCATGCTACAAGGCCGTCCACAGGCCGGCAAGGGGCGCCTGTACTTGGTCTGCGATGGTGGTGGTAGCATCGCCACCTACATCCATCTGCTCCGCCGCCAGTTCCCCCTACCCGTCTACGGCATCGACTCCCCCTTCCTGCGCTGCCCGTCACGGATGACGACACAAGTTGGCATTGTCGGCGTCGCCAAGATCATGGTTGAAGCCCTCATCGAGACACAGCCCGATGCTGGCCTCTCCGAAGCCGAAGAGGACTCGATAGTCATCAGCGGCTTCTCCGGCGGGTCTCTCTTCTGCTACGAAATGTGCCGCCAGCTCCTTGCACAAGGGCGGCGCGTGGCCGGCATCGTGATACTAGACATGCGCTGCCCTCTCCCGCCGCCGCCGCCATCAGCAGCTACTTGGTCGGACGAAGAGACTTGGCCTATCTTCTTCACCACTTCAGGAGAGCACTTCATCGGTAACACCCCAGGGTTCGACATCACGGAGCACCTGCGCGCCATGTTCACGTGCGTCCTGGACTACCATCCGCCATCCCTAGCAGACGCCGGACCAGTCCTTCGCATTCCTGCTGCTGTCGTCTGGTGCAAGGGAGGCATGGTGGGCCGTCTGAGGCGGCGCCGGCCCGAGCTCGTCGCCAAGCTCGCCGATATGGGCTACCCTGTCGAGCCGTATCCGGGGTTCATGGAGAACCCGAAGCTGGGCGCCGTGGCGTGGAGCCTGCCGGACAAGAATTCAGAAACGGACCTGGGCCCCGGTGGTTGGGATAAGTATGTAGGCGCCGGTAAGAACGGCGAGTTGGGCAAGAACATGGTGTGCTTGGCTATCGAGGGGGACCATCATGACGCTATTGCTCCTACGGGGGCGCATCGCTTGGCGGAGTCGCTGGACAAGGGTGTCAGGTTTGTGCTTGGGAAGAAAAGCTCTTCAACTTAATGAACAGCTTAATGAAGCAAGATAAGCAGTAAGGAAGTTTGTTTAGATAATGGTGCATTTCTTTTGTTAGCTTTTAACGATTGTTTTGTTCTGAAATGTTTCATTGATCAAGTTTGGCAATTTTCAACGGTAATTCAATTTTGGTATTATTGACAGTAAATATGCGGATGTGGCAGAGAGCAGCTTGTTGTATGCATTTTCAAAAAAGGTCAATTGTCAATATGGAATCTTTTCTAGAAGATAGAGCAGTAGTAGGTGGTCATAGGACCGTGTCAAGCAATTTCAGGAACCCTCCGTTCCCCATCTTGCTCAGCAGTGTCGACCCTAACCTCCAAGCAACCCAGGTGCATGTTAACGCACCCCCGAGGACAACTCCCCACGCCACCGATCCGACCGCAACCACGATGCGACCAACCATCTTGACGTCCTCGGGCTTGTTATTATGCGGGAACGGCTGCGCGGGCACCGGCAGCTTGAGCATCTCGCACAACGGGCCCCAGCCGTCGCGGACGCGGTAGAAGAAGAGCTTCTCCGGCGGCACAACCCTACGCAAGAATGCTTCGTGCGTTTCGAGTACCTCAGCGCACTGGAAGCCCTTAAAACCCAGGCGGGAGACACACGTCTTCTCGACGAGCGGGCCCCATCTTGTCGGAAATGGTCAGCAAGATTCGACTCTTAGTTGGACAGAGGCACATACGTGACGAATGAGTTCAGCACTGGAAGTGGCCGAGCGAAGAAGGGCAGCCACGGCCAGTCGACCAGGCTGGAGATTGTTTGAGCGCTCTTCCACCAAGACTCTTTGTCTCGGGTCGTTGCGATTACGACGGCATCTGGATACAGCTCGAGAATCTCCGGCACAAGCCAGATGCATGGAGCATCAACAGTCTTTTGGCCCCGAGGAATGGTCAGCAAGATTCAGTCATCTTAAGTAGTGATTTGCCTCAAGTTTGCAGTAACTTACCGCGGAGTAACCTTCCATGAGTTCGGCAAGCAGCCATTCCAGGCGCTTCTTCTCGGGCAGCGTCTTATCCTTCTTGGTCGCTAATTCCATGACCTCGAGCCACCGCTTCCGCACCTCCGCGGTGCCCACGAGTCCCTCGGCGCCGCCGTCATGAACAGGGCCGATGAGCGTCTCCAGGGCTTGTGCAAAGGTCTTGGTGCCAGTTCGTGACCTGAGATATCACCAAGTTCACCGTCTTAGCTCATGTATGATCTTTCCTGGCCATGGCATCTTTTAGATTGATAATGAAGATGAAATACGTACATGCCGGCACCAATGACACGGAACTTTGTGCCCGGCTTGGGCCTCGAGTGACCTTGGCCCATTTTGTGATGAATTGCGTGAAAACACCAAGGAATCTCACGGTCAAAGAAACAAGAACAGCGTCGAGATACACTAATCGTAAGACATACGGTGAGTGGCCTCTATCAAGGCTGGCCGACTTCTTTGTATTTCCTTCCCGGTCTTCTCGGAGACCGAGACCCCGGCCCCATGTGTTCAAGGTAGTGGTGCACAGCGAGTCAGGGGCTCAATGGCTATAACATATAAGTCTTTATCGAGGAGTTCTGCCATACCCAAACTGCATCGAGAAAGAATGAAGTACATCATTCACCCATGTCAACTTATGGGTCAACCTCGCGGAATATGTTTTCCTGTCAAGGCCACAAGCCTTGAAACATTGATATCAGCAGTCTTAATTTTCGAAAATCCCTTCTCGTCATAGAAACTTGTACATGCTGACAATACCTAGTATGTTTCTCGGGAGTAGATTCCTCGATATGAAAAATCGGGAACTGCCTCGCGGTGCACTGAGGCACGGACAAATAGTCGGTAGAAATTCAGTACCCCAAGAGCCCCTCACCGGGGAGAGCGACTGCAGATCTTCAAGTGCGGAGGGTCCCCTGCACTTAGTCTCTCCAGGACCCATACAACCCGAAAGATGTACCGGTACAACAGCTGTCTCTGTGATTGACTCGTTCAAATGACAGCCACTGTGTAAGCACGTGCAAGAGCCTCGCTTTCGTAAGTCCACAACCACAAACATCAGGGGTATCGTTGGGTCTGTATGAGGAACCGTACGACTGAGTTATGACATTTGGCTCGCACTGGGTTACAGAGGCATTTACAAGCACATGCAAGGGACTTGACTCACTACTATCTACATGAGTTCAAAGCCCTCATTTGCTACAGATTGGCATGGAGAAGGTGGGCGCATCGGGACGGGCAGCAACCTTGGCTCGGAAAGTGCGGTCAGAGGCTCAATGTATTCGTAGATCTGTGGAGCGAGGTTTACGATGTATTGCGAGTTCCCCGCATAAGAGCGTCAAAGCAACTAGCATTGCTTGGAACTCGATTGCCTCAAACCGCAGCTCTCTAACCGTCGCACACGCAACTCAACTCAACACCGTCATTCTCAGGCTTATCACATTGATCGACTAGAAGCGAGTAGCTGCTGCGATCAGTTTCCAGAATGGCTTCTACAACTACCCTACCTGCAGACCAGGCAATTGCCGCAACTGCAGGCGGGAACATGGTCTCAGAAATGGAGTCAGCCTTCAAGTCGAGTGTAGAATCAGGCAAGATTCCGGGTGCTGTGGTGATTGCGAAGGACGTGACCGGTAGGCTCCCCATAAATGTACTCACTTAGCGAAATTATCACACCCGACTCGTGGACAAGAGTCTGAGACCATGGCAAGTTAGCTGACAATCGAGTCGTTGCTCTCAGGCAAAATTGACTATGTCCGCTCCTTCGGAGCCAGGTCCGTCCGGCCGGATGAGAACGGGGCGTTGCCCCCGATGCAAGCAGACACAATCATGAGAATGGGTCAGGCTAGCGTGCTCGTCGGCACGGTCATGGCGCTGCAGTGCGTCGAGCGCGGTCTCATTGGCTTAGATGAGAGCGTGGAAAAGTACCTCCCCGACCTGACCAGCATGAAGGTCTTGGCTGGCTTTGATGCTGAGGGTAAGCCCATCATGAGGGAGAGGAACGGAATCATCACTCTCAGGTGAATTCACCCATGATTGATACTCATCGCCCGACCATTACTGACTTCTTGCGATCAAAAAGGCACATGCTCACAGACACCTCGGGCATCTCACACGTGCCTATCAGCCCTCTCCTGCGTGAGTACTGCGCCAAGGGGTACTCAACGTACCCGTTGCCTATCGGTGGTGAGACCGACATTCCCGACCCGTTGGCCGCGCCCCCCGTCGGCGACCCGGGCGCCGAGTGGGTCCACGGCACCAACATCGACTGGGCCGGTAAGCTGGTCGAGCGCGCAACGGGAATGGACCTGGAGAGCTACATGCAGCAAAACATCTGCGCGCCGCTGGGCATCACCGACATCACGTTCAAGCTCCACCAGCGGCCCGACATGCTCGCGAGACGGGCGGACCTAACGAAGCGCAGCCCCGAGGACGGCAAGTTGTACTACGACGACACCATCTTCTTCCGCAAGTTCCCGGACGAGTGTTATGCCGGCTCGGGTATGTTCGCCAGCCCGGCCGCCTTCATGGCCGTGATGCACTCCCTTCTGAAGCGCGACGGCGTCCTCCTGAAGCCCGAAACAGTTGACCAGATGTTTGTGCCTGCGCTCAACGAGAAGATGGAGCGCGGGATGAATGAGCACTTCAACAAGGTCATCCGCTTTATCAACTATGGCTATCCGCTGCCGCAGTGGCCTACTCTGCGCCGCAACTTCGGATTCGGAGCCATTGTAATCATGCAGGATCTGGACGGAGACAAGTGGCGCCGTAAGGGGTCTATGTCCATCAACTGCGGATGGAACGTTGGACTGGTAAGTACTGCTCTTCCTTTCGTGAGCATAGGTTTGGAAGGCTTACATCGACGAACAGCAAATCGACCCTGCAGCGGGACTGTGCACCATCGTGGCATTCCAGACTTCGCCATACAGCACTCCTATCGAAGAGGGGCTTGTACACACCTTTGAGAAGGCTATGTATTCGTTGCTGTGACAGTGTTGGCCTGGTAATAGGGCCGGTACTGTTAGAAGGGCCTGACTAGCAAAACCATGCAACTGACAGTACTTGGCTAGAATGCAAATATGAATGACGAATCCATCTTTCATTCTCTTCCTTTCATGCGCGAAACATCCTCAGACCACTGATCTTGCCATTTGAAACTTGCAGACTATTTTCTTTTACGGTTGCTGGGTGACACATTGATTCATGTGGTGTTGTGGTAGCAGTGTCTGTTGTCTAACACCACGAAAGCCCCCTCCTACACCCATGGTCATTATCCAATGATTGAAGTTTCGGGGAATCTGTTTGTAAGTACATATAGGTGCAAACATATTGTAATACCTTTCTTTAATCCCTGTCATTGGCCAGCTCGAATCGTAGAAGAACGTCTTACGCCCAACGGGGACACTAAAAGGGGTGTTTACCGCGTAGTAAAACTCTACTTGATACTGATCTCGGCTTGCATAGAGTCATGTGGTTCAATTAGTGATCATCGTACGAAAAGCGCCAACCTATCAAAATCACTGCATTATCTTCATGTTGTATGGTAGAGTAGTCACCCTTGCGGCCTTTCTATCGCCAAAACCTTATGTTGGGCTTCATTCTCTCATCAGGTTTTCTGTCCACACAGATCGTCTTCCTTGAGGCACGCGATGAAACCCAAATATGATTAAGCTCGTTGATCCAACGGCTCGGGCCTTGAATAATAATCAGCCTCGGATACCAACAGCCCCTGGGTCGATCTCGATGTGACGTGGGGATAGACAGGACATGCAGGTACTATCGTGAAGTTATTGGACAGAAATCGTGTTGAGTCTAGACTTCCTCTGCCTTTTGAATCGCATACGTGATCAGCGGCTAGGTGCTTTCAATTAGAGTAAAACGAGGCGGTTTACATCTCGCATTCCGAAAAGCGTGTTATCGGGAGTTGGATGGGAAGGTGTGCACATGGAAGAATCATGGGACGAGTTGTCCACCCTCGGATAACGCAGGTGGCGACTATGCAGAACCCGATCGGACGGTAGCTCAGTCGCTGCAAGTCTTGTCGAGGCTTGCTTTGGTCGAGGTCATCGGAACCGAACTTTGACTCCTCCCGCCGGCACTTGCAATAGAATGCTGATTCCCATAGCCAAGATAGGCAAGCTTGGGTTAGTGAAACCCGTCGTGATGGTTATCGTGAGAAATTCAGACTACGGGACTGCGGGCGGCGGCAATTGGCTTCCACGCTAAATCCCCGCGAACCTTCATCCCGACTTCACCGGGAGCAACCCGTGTCCGCTAGTTCTGTCAAATGTCCCCTCGGTGAAAAGCGGCGTCTGCCGTCTATCGAAACGTTGCGGGTTTGGGGTCCAAATAAGCTAAATTGTGATGGTTGCCCCCCAGGGCCCAACTGCCCGCCAAATCCCACAGAATGACGGCGTTTCGAAGGCCGCGATCAAGGGTGATCCATCAAATCGCTCCCGAAAACAGTGAAAGTATTTACCCAAATCACGGCTCTTGGCAGGCACCCCCGCTCGACGATCCGACGCCATGTGAGATAAGCTCGGTCGAAACGCAAGTTGAGGTGACACTGATATGTGTCTCTTCCGGGCTCCTACGTCCGAGCTTAAACCCTTCATCGGCTGTTTTGAAACGCGCATCGCACCCTTCCGAAGATGATTAAGGTTCCTGGGGTGCTGCCTTTCATAAAAGTCCCCGCGGAGCCCCAGTGGCTTTCTTTGTCTTTTGGGTGAGATAGTTAAGGGGGTTGCAGATGTTGATGTAGCACGGGAAGAAGTCACGACGAAGCTTGAACGACGAAACCACAGATCCGCCAAGATGCACTGGCTTCAGACGCTTCTATTGTTGCCTTCGGCCGTCACTGCGACGTTGAATCTGCAGCAGTACCGCCCTGCAGCGGCGAAGAAACTGTTTCCGGAACCGGCGGGAGGCCAGCAGAACGTGGTGCAAAATGTCATTTCCAATTCTAAGGCGGCGAGGGAGCCGAAGTTTCTCACTGATAAGACCCGAAGTAAATACTCACGACATGATATGATTGCCGTAGATACTGACGCATCGTACAGAATTCGTCGTGAACGGCACCAAGATCCCCGAAGTGGACTGGGATGTCGGCGAGTCCTACGCAGGATTGATTCCGATTCACGCCAATAATGACACGAGCGAGAAGTTGTACTTTTGGTTCTTCCCGTCTGAGAATCAAGAGACCGAGAAGGAGATCGTAATCTGGCTCACTGGTGGTGTAGGTTAGGATGTTCGCGGGAAATTTAATGGTGCTGACTCTGTTGTCACAGCCCGGCTGCTCTTCGACTGGCGAGCTTCTCTCGGAAAATGGTCCTATGCTCTGGCAGCCAGGAATGTTTAGGCCCATCAGGAACAAATGGAGCTGGCATCGCATCACGAACGTGGTCTGGATAGACCAACCTGTTGGTGCTGGATTCTCAACGGGCACGCCCACGGCAAAGGACGAGTTCGACGTCTCACGCCAATTTCTCAGCTGGTGGCGTAACTTCATCGATACTTTTGACTTGAAGGGATTCAAGATATATGTTACAGGATCTTCATACAGCGGCATGTACTGCCCATACATTGCCAGCGCCATGATCGACTCCAACGACAAAGACTACTTCAACGTCGGCGGTATGCAGATCTTCGACGGGACGTACTCAGTTGACAGCATCGGAGAGGAGATTCCCGCTCTAGCCTTTGCAGACCGTTGGGAGCACGTTTTCGCCTTCAACGACACCTTCCGCAAGACGTTGCGAGACGTCAACGATAAATGTGGCTACGCCGATTACATGCGCAAGTACCTTGTCTACCCTCCCTCCGGTCTACAGCCTGCTGTACCTCCGGGCGTCGACGGTAACGGCGAGGTCAAGACGGAGTGCGACATTTGGACAATGATCGGGGAAGCTGCGGAGCAGACAAACCCCTGCTTCAGCGTGTACACGATCACTGATGGGTGCCCACTGAAGTATGACCCGCTCGGCTTCAGTGATGGTGCGAATTACCGACCCAGGGGCTCCGGACAACCCTACTTCAACCGCGATGATGTTAAGAAAGCTATCAACGCGCCAATGGACAAGGAGTGGAAATTCTGCACCGACGTTCCAGTGTTCCAGAATAGCACGGACAACTCAATCTTGGATGGGCCTGGAAGCCAGCCTGTTCTTCCCAACGTCATTGACAAAACCCGCAACGTCATCCTCGCCCATGGCACCAGGGACTATGTTCTCATCGACGACGGCACGTTGTTGACGATTCAGAACCTCACGTGGGGTGGGCAGATGGGATTCCAGATGAAGCCGACAGCCCCGCTCTACGTTCCTTACCACTCCAACGACAATCCGGAGAACATTGCTGGGGCTGGTGTCATGGGTACAGTGCACTCGGAACGAGGACTGACATACATCGCTGTTTCCCAGGCAGGCCACTTTGTTGCCGCGGATATGCCCTCAGTCGCATTCCGTAGCGTTGAGGTGTTGGTTGGCAGGAGAGACGGGTTCGAATCGACGACTCCGCTGACCATTGACCAAAACGCGTCCATGCCCGTCGGTGACGTTGGAAACGGAACTGTTATCATGTTCCCGCAGTCAATGGAGCCTGGAAGAGGGGTCTTGTCCAACCAGCCGGTGCCGAAAAACAGCAGCAGTTTTGCAACGGGCCCAGGAAGTGGGCAAGCGGTATTTGCGTTTGGGTTCGCGGCCTTCGTGACGTTCATGCTAGGCATCTAGTAAGAGGCCATCGGCTAGACTCTTGAGTACCTACGGTTATTGAAAAGATGGGACGGACTATTATCCAACGTGGGAGACTCGCTATCCCAAAGGGCGTGTATAGTCAACGATCCCGCATAATGGGATTGAAATATAATGATATACGCGCATAACATGCTCATGTTGTAGCCGTAAGACGCCCGTGTTGAGCGTTCCCTGAAGTCCTTCAGCTAAATATGGTGAAATACCTCGCCTAACACTGGCCATAAGTTACCCACCAACGTGACTCACAGCCCCTATCAGATACAGCTGTTACTTGTTTAATACAGAAGACCAGTCGTTCTTAGCTGCCCAGTCTCGCCAACTAGTCAACTGGCAGTCGATGCCCGCCTAAAGAGTGTTAGCCACAAGAATGTATCACTAATGTAGAATCTGATAGATCTCACCTTTCTGATATCAGCGGCCGTCAACAGGTCCATGCCGCCATCGTATCCAGGGTCCGAGGAATACGAGAACATGTACGCAACTTCGATGCCGGTATCGCGCTCCCCTGTGGCCTCAATCATCTCCTCAGGGGTGATCTGCTTGTAAGTTGCCGTCTTTCCCGTCACCTGAGCCCATGTTTCAAGAAACTCGGGCCAAGTGCAGGTTGATCCCTCAGCCATGTAGGCTTTGCCGGGTGGTATTTGAGAGACGGCGTACGTGAAGTTGCCCATATCTCCGGATGGGTCGAAGTGAGGCACGGGCTTCTCCGGGGATGTGGTGAATGCCATTGTGAACGTGCCGTCAGGGTTCTGATGAGGCATTAGCAGGAAACTCAGATAATAATAGCCGCGCAAGAGTGGCTCACCTTTCCGAAGTAGGAGTTTGGCAGGATATTGTAACTCGTGAAGAAATAGCCCGTGTGGATGCACGACATCTTTGCAGCCAGACCAGGATACTTTTCGTTCACGTAGCCAGGGAAGATGTCGGCCTTGGCATCGAAATGGTACAGCTCCTTGAACTTTCCACCGCTGCACTTCTCCGCATGACTCAGCGTCGACACCAAGAAGCCGTTCTCGTCGAGTGTGTCCACCGTTGCCGCCGCGGCATCAGCAATGTTCCGTCCCTGACGATACTCGACATCATACGCGTACTTGCGGCACGAGATGCCAAGCTCCTGGGCCTTTGCGCGACAGTCCGGCCGGAAAAAGGGTTCCCAGTAGTTCGTCACACTGAAGATGACGTTGGCGTCACGAAGGGCCTCCTTCATCGAGTCTACATCTTCCAGATCCGCCTGCACAACCTCCACACCGAGTGATGCTAGCGCCGTGGCCGCGGGAGAGGAGAAGTTGCGGGTGAGCCCTCGGACGCGGTACCCCGCGGCGAGGAAGCGGCGAGCGACGGAGCCACCTTGGTTTCCAGTGGCGCCGACGACGGCGATGAGCTTCTCGGGCATTGTCTGCAGTGCGACCCCGTCGACAGGTCCGTGATGGTGGGAAACAGAGTTGTGAGGCGGTGAGAGGTGGGGTCCAAGAGTTCGAGGAGCTCGAGCAAATCGTGGGCTGATCTGGCGGCTGGGATGGGGTCGGAATGGGAAGGTTCAAGAACTGAATTTGAGAAACGGTTTTCTTATTTGCCGCTATTTTTGAACCCGATGGAAAGGTGTGAACGAAGTGTTCGCGCTGGCGGATGAAGAGTTCTTCAACTTCTGGAGAAAGTTCGCGGAAGCCCCTCCTCCATTGCGGTCCCGTCCCCGCCGCTTCACGACATGCTCAAGGCCTGGACGCCGCCTCCGTCGGAAACACTAATTGCTAGTGTGGACGGTATCAGTGGCGCCCAAGGGAGAAAAAATACTGGAATGTGATATGAGTGGATCTCGTCATACCATCTGCCCATCGATGCAGAGACGCATCGGGAGCGGATCCCTATGTGGGTTTAGCATGTTGACACTAAAGCGCCGAAGTACGGGGGCGGCACAGACGCCAATCCGTACGCGGAATAGGGCGCGTATGATTTCCGGCGCCTCGGTTAAAGTTTTATCTCTGTTTTATTGCAAGTCCACGATAAGGATGTCCCCTAGAATGGTTTCGAATAATATTGAAGAATGGCTGTAGGATCACTCGCAATAATTGAGATGAGATAAAATGTGAGTCAAAAGAGCGTGATAGTCTTGATCAAAACTATGGACCGCACATGCCATCGTGCACGTATCAAGTATGGATTCAGATAGGAAAGACATGATAAGAAGGAAGGTAAAAAATAATAAGAAGAAAGAAGAAGAAAAACGCATATCAGCATCCCAATTCCCCTTGCATGTACGTATATAAGCAAATGAGCGGCATTGTATTCAAGTTTCGAAGGGAACTTGTAATCCAACATCAACAATCACTATCATGAATGGTGATATTCTCGTCTGCTTGCCCTGTGGTGTCTCCCTTCCTTTACCAATCTTTACAAATACGCCGTCAGCACACTTCAATCAATTATTTCGTGCGGTATTCTCAGCTTACACGTTTTTTTGACCTTACGATCTCCCCGGCGCTCAACGGCAGCGGGATTTGCGACTGGCATGTCTGTTACATGACTCTTGATTCCTGTTTCAAGGGGAGTTATATCGAAGTCTCGCTGCCTAAGAACAGAGCGGGAGCTGTGTGATACTCCGCACCAGTTTGCACTTTTTAACAAACAATCTGCAGGAGCTGGAGCAGAATCACGCCAACCAGCACCACTGGCCTCTTGGTATGGCATACCTTCGACTTCTTTTGTTAACGTGATAAAGTCCATTTTCCATAGTCATTACTCACCATGGACGCCGGGAGTTTGAGTGTTCGGCGTGTCTATGAAAACCCGGGTGAGAACATCCGCTGATGGCTGCGGCTTGAGCTGTTTGAGTTGTTGCTTCTCGTCTGATTCATCAAGAGTATCCGACGGAAAGCTTCGAGTTTTGATCCAGCTGCACTGCTCACATTGACCGCTTCGGCGATTCCAGTTGTTCGGGAGCTCGTGCAATTGATTTGGGCTCGTAGAGACCTCGGAGAAGTCGGGCAGCTCCTGAGACGAGAAGCCAGATTGGCGAGGCCAAGTATTCCACCTGCGTTGATGTTGACTATCTTGCATCTGTGACCAGGAGTCTTGGTTGACAGTGGGGACCGGAGCAGACTGGCGCGTCTCCGTTGTCTCGACCGCGCGCTTCCAGCAACGCTGGCCGGGCTTCGTGCACCAGGCAGCAGCCTCCGCAACGGTGAGGATAATGTGGAGAATTTTTGCAAGCTTCATATTCAGTAGAGCGCAATGAAGCCAAAGTCCTTGATACGAGGAGTGTATTAAAGACGTGAAAAAAGACACCTTTGTCACGGTTGTAATCTTTAAATCAAGAATTTGCCAGGATTGGAGGAGACAAATTCTTGCCTTTTGTAGTTTTCCATGCCATGAAGATGAGAACTATCGATTTTTCCAGCTCTTCATCGACACTGTAAGCATCGTCATTTTCTTGCTAAACATAGGATAGGAGTCATCTGCAGTTCACAGTCATATGCGCAGTGAATTCGCTGGTCCGGCCCAGGCTGGCTGGCCATTTTATCTTGAAAGGGTGGTCAGACTATCTTGGAAAGGCAAGCTTTGAGCGTGCTGGCTTTCGCCATTAGCTATTCACGGACCGTGTTTTCACAGAATGGAGGCGAGAGGGAGGGCGCTAGGCTGAAGACCATTGTTTGATGACCTGGTTTGTTTCGAGTGGTCCCCAGCAATCATTTTGGACGCCGCTCACAAAGTTCCAAGTGTTTCAGTCTTTTCGAATGCAGCAGCCCCCCCTGTGTGCGAAGGCTCAAAGTCATCCTGGGACTGGCTCAAGAACCTGCCAATCTTCAAGATGTACTTCGGACGGGGACGATCTTTCAGAGGGGGCAACAAGAAGACAAACGCTTGTTCCCATGTTTTTAGATACTTCAGCGTTCGTCACAATCATATTTCAGGCACCTCCAGTGGATCAAGCTCAAGGAGAACAGATTCCCACGCAGACAGGTCCAGCATAATGAAGTGGCTTCCAGGGGTTCCTTCTGATGTTGTTATTTGTCAAAGTTCAATGCACCCAGTGCGCTCCAAGACACATTATGTTCTAGCAATGGCAATTGAAATGAGTAGGTGTGATAAGACGTAGAGAAAACTCATTGGGGGGCAACTGGGAAGGGCAAAGATGGTCGGTTATTGACGGCAAATATTCCAAGCACTTCTTCATGGATCAAACTTTTATCAGTTTCGACACATCATCAGGGCTGATCTGCCGCGTGGGTCTCATAATGCCAGGATATTGTCCAAGTTTAGTCAGATGCATGTCTCACTGTTTTGGGGCAACACGCTGCACACCTGCAGATGAAATCTAAGGCCGATGTTTGCCTTACCAGTTGTCTCTTGCTTCAGTGGCCCCTCAAACGTTGTCTTTGATGATGTGGCAAAGAGGGCGAGGCATTTATTTCAAGTGTCTAAATTGCGCGGCGGGGGTTTGCAGGTTTGTTGTTTGATGGAATCGCATTCGTACATAGCTCCACGCCGTAGTGATTGGCCGGGAGCTGTTCCATCAGCCATGATAGTCAGATGTCGTCAATCTGGTGGTTGAAGCGGCGACCTCCGCTACAAAGTAATACATGTACACCTGCATTTTACGTATGGGTACGAAATTAATCGAGCGACTTACTTGCATGGCATAGTGCCATGATTCTGCTGTCTTCGACAAATGATGCCATCTTCAACCTCCTTGAAAGATTTAGATCGCTCGGCGTATCAACTTCCATTTCACTTGACTTGCTCTTCAAAGTCTGCTGATCGTACTAGATCTTTGAATGTACAACTTGTGAGGCTTCATATCTACCTTGTATAGGGCTGCATCAGCACTTTGCCGAGATGAAACAAAGCTGGACAACCAGACCCAGATCACCACGATCTCCAGCGATAGGTTGAGAAGTCCGTACGTGGAATGTGGCGCCTATGATTTCCACCGCATCCCTCAAAGTAAGTCCAAGATGAAGGTGCCCCTTGAAAGGATTTTGAGTAGTGTTCAAGATTCACTCTCAAGACAACTCATTAACCTATTTGACGATACGAAATTATGACATGTGCTAAAAGAATGTAATTGTTTCTAAATATGAGTAGTTGTGTGTGCTCCCACATATGTAATGGATGGAATTCAATAAAGATAGACTGCGTAAACCTCGCAAACCTGTGATGATATGATCAAACGAGCGTCAGGAATTTCAGAACAGCATGATGTGTAGAAAGTCTCCGCTACCGACGGCAATGGAATAAAATCAAGGCGACTTTCCTTTCCTCAATGTGACAACTGTTCTATTAGCATCCATAGTTCAGCAGACAAACAGATGTGACAGTACCTACTCCACCCGTTGGGAACGGTTCTTCGTGCCTTGTCACTGTCCCATGAAGCATGGAGTGGGTGAATATCAGACGGCTCAACCGAATGCTCGGCATTGTTGTGAACTGAAACTTCGCCGTCGGACACGGCGATAGCACGAGGCTTGTTGGTGGGTCTGTTTGGGACGCAAACCCTCCCATTACAAATAGATCTCGGGTTTCGACTGGGAGGCAGCCAATTCCGTTCCAAGAGATCTGGAAAAACAGGTCAATGATATCTCGGAGAATCGAGAGCAAAACCTTGAAATTCTTACCTTCAGCCCGTTTCTCATCTTGCAATAGGCTTCTTGTTACTTCGTCTACTAGTATGCCTGCTGAGTTGTCTGGGGCTGGGTCTATCTCAGTGGACCTAGCTACGTGCTCTTTGTAGTTGTACGCAACGCTGTATTCTGGCCCGGTCAAATGGTTTGCCTGTCTGGCTTCGAGGTCGGAAGTGGACTGCTCGACTTTTGCAGAATCCAACGGCGCCTCTGAAAGCTGAGAAGATGGCCAAGGAGGAGGTCTCACGGGGTAATGCAGGTCTCGAGAATCGACCTTAAATGCAGCAAGGACGTGTCCGGGGTTAATTGCAGCAGCTTCCACATTGATCGACCAGAAAATGAAGGAGATTAGATGGATGATAAGAAAAGACTTCATGTTTGTTACGAACGATCAGTTGGCTCGCTCGTGAAGGTGGTATCGAAGCTTAAAACAGGACTTGAGATGGCTTCGGATTTTTGTTGGTGAGAATGAAAACTGTCAATGAGAAGAAATCACACTCCATATTTATATTCACAAATCCTGCAGGTGGGTGTTGTCTCCTGAGAAGGCCCAAGTCATCAAGCTCCACCGTATCTATCAGATTAATCAGCGACTGCTCCCACGTCGGTTTGGATTTCACCTAGTTGGTGAACTTAAGGCTCCTCGGCGAATCCGGGATTCCAGGAATGAGTGGTCAGAACTCCTGAATGCGATGTGTGTTACGTTTGAAGACGTAAAATAGATACAAAGGAGAATCACACCAATTCGATATAAGCGATGATCAAGCACTATCATGAAATAGGTGTTCACTAGCCTAGTATTGCTGCGATTATGATGCCGTACAGACTTTCGGTTCCACTATGGCGTGGCGCAGTCTTCAAAATCCATCATGAAAGTCGCATCCACAGAGACGAAAACGACCAAGGCATGCGGCGCGCATATCTACTTGGGTGTGTTGTCTGGAAGTAAACAACCCCTTGGCTGCACCGTGGGACGATACTGGGCGCAGTCACAATATTCACCATCAGGCACACAGATTCGCTGAAAAGAGAAAGCAGAAGTCACCACTCAAGCAGCACAAATACCATACTGTCCCCGCATGCATAGTCTTATATCTTCTCATAATTCGTTGGTGTTCTCAGCGCTAGTACCACGGGCGAGCCCCTGCATAACTACGCTCACGATTTTGCAAATCATCAGTCGATACCACCAAACAGACAAAGAAGAAGACCTCATGCCCAGCTCCCGCTTTAGAACTTAATCACACCCTCAAATTTACAAGCTGAGGTTTGGAGACAGGCCGCAAGACTCAGGCCGTCACAACCTCCAGGAATTAAGTCAAAGTTCATTATTCTGAATAGCAACATTCATGCCACATGTAGTCTCCTTTCAGGTGATGCATATTTCACTCATCACGGGAAGCAAGACGCACATTCTGCACAAAAGCTGTCAGCTGAATGTATCCAATGTCTGCAGACGCAGCCAAGACACCAACAAGCAATTAATCCTTCGATGGGTAGGAAAGAGGGGCGAGAGTGACACAGAAAACACGCAAGTGCGTGAGAGCTAGAAAATAGAAATCAGGCTGTGATGAAGACGGCAAAGTTTCTGGTGGTTGCCTCGTTCATGCTTTGCTACGGCATTAGCCGAGGCGATAGATCTTGTGTTTCGCCCAATGACAGGGAAGGCGCTTTGTGATGAACAAGCAGCTAGAGACACAGCTGAAAATTGGGCAGTCTTTTGTAAGATCCTATTGGCCCACTTTCCAAAAGCTGCAATTGCCAAGTAAATGAGACAACTACGCCTAGAAGGGTGGCTGTACAGCCTAAGTCTGGCATAAGTTAGCACCACTGTGTTTGGAGGGGTGTGAAGACTGGTGAACTTGGGTGATGATTGAGCGATAAACATGATGATGCTCCAGACGCCGGCAGCCACTTTGATCATGCTGGGATAAACCAGACGCTAGGAGAAGGAGTGAATTTTTTATTTCTCGCTTAGGCCTTGAAGGGAGCCCCCCCCCCCCAGTCCGATTTACGAGGGTCACGGTCTTCACCAGCAGAATGATTCCGTAGTTGATGAATCGGTCGGAAGAAGAGCCTGACAGATTGAAGAGATTACTTTGGATTAAGGTAGTCTAGAGACAAACCGTTCGCTGACTTCACGAAGAAGGATTAACCATGAGGCGCTTGAAAGATTCAGCTCCGCCGATGACGGATTTGATGTAGCAAACGAGTGTATTCAATCAAGATGTGGCTTTTCATGTATGCCATCGTACATAATATATGCGGCCAAAAAGCTCAATGTCCAGGCCATTTCATGGTTGCAAAGTGAGTGACAAAGGAATTCAAGAAGGAAATGCCCCAGTTCAATTCCATACGACACGACTCTCGCCATCCATTTCCGAGACTGGCTGCCACCGAAATTTCCAACTACTCCATCGTTTCCAAATCTTGCTGGTGAATCTCAGCAGTCCTGCCAGTTCCTGATATGTAGGCTCAGGTCACCCTCCGAGGACTACCGCGACCACCGCGACCACGACTGCGACCGCGAATGCTCCCAGCCTCCGCATTGGAATTAGCCTTCTGACCAGTTGAATCTACAGAAGTCAGTGTTTCCGATTCTCTCAAAGATGGACATGCCACTTGCAATAATCCATCTGCCTGTCTTCGGATCGCTGGAAGATCTTCCAGGAATCTTCTGTCTCCGTATCCATGTCGCTGTTCAGATTTTGTCGCTTCTTGATAGACGGATAGTAGAACCTTGCACCTGAAGATGTGTCTTCAGCATTAGTTAAACAACTAGGTAGAATCCTCAGACTGACCAGGGACATCTCTCTCGATCTTACGCGCGGCACCCGTGTACTTAAACCTCCATCGCTTCTGATTGCCAGACTCGCCAAACCCCTGATCAATACTGCTATCGACTTCTGAGTCGGTGGAAGTTTCAATCACGGGCGACGGAGCTTTGCCTTCACTCTGAGCTCGAGCAGCTTTGACACAAATGGCCAACGCAACAACGAAAAGGACTTGGAGAATGCTTATAACCTTCATCTTCGGAGTATTTCAAACGAGCGGTAAACTTGAGTATTACCAAGATGGAGGGTCAAATTGATGATTAGAGATCAGAGTCAGAAAAGGGCATCGATGGAAATATTTATCACATTTGTGGTCAAATACTACAATAGCACTCTGAGGTTTTTTATGTTAATTGGTAAAGGTGGTTGTGCTCGTAACAATGCAGAGTGGAATTATCGTATTACGCCCAGCCTGTTGCGGCTGATTACTTCACATGAGCTTTTCTTGCGTCTCCAGCAAATACAAAATTTAGCAACCATGATGGATGCCACCCACACCCATATCTTTCTGGTCATGCGTGTCGCTTCAGAGAGGCCCTTTTGCGCGCAAGGCTAGCAGTCGTCTACACGCTAAACAGACCTTATGCTGTACGACCTCGAAATATCTTGTAGTGGCCGCTATGTTTTGAGACCTTGCCGAAATTGGTGAGGGAAAGTACAGATGTCGCTATCTCGTATGCTGGACAACGGACATAAATCTCGGGACTCTTCGTGAACACCTGGGGACAGCTTGACCATACACATTATACTCCTCTTAAATCAAGCAGCATACGCAGAAGAAACATTCTGGCCGCCAGTATGAATGAACAGAACATTGACCGTTTCACCCGGTTGATGTCCGACTTTTGTGGCGTCGCTCTGAAGTTCGCCACTGTTGACCCAGTGAATCAGCCCTTTGGCAGCCTTTCCGGAGTACACAGGATCCATCAAGATTCCTTCGCGGCAAGCCAAAGTCTTCAAAGTCTTTCGGGTCTCTTCATCCAGCACACCGTATCCGGGACCAGCGAAACGATGGTCAAGGCGGATATCCTCAGCCGCGATGTCGCGTTCCGGATCCAGCCCAACCAACTTGCCGGCATTCCTGGCAATCTGCAACACCACTTCTTCCTGGCCTGTTATGGGTGCCACCATGACTCCGATCAGCTGTCTTTCGGGCACAGATAGCTGGTCGGGCAGCGACGATTCGAGGAGTTTAAATCCAGTGACCAAGCCGGCAAGTGTACTCCCACTTCCGCAAGCGACAAAAATGTAATCATAACGACCCGTGCCTCCGAGTTTGAGGGTCTTTTCTTGCTCTTGTATCTCCAACGCGCAGTTGGTATACCCGAGTCCGCCCAGGGGGTGTTGGCTAGAACCCATCGGTATCCAGTAAGGCACCTTGCCTTCAGCCTTGAGCGCCTGCAGAACCGCAATTTTATCGTGAGGATCACGCTGAATATGAACATTTACGCCAAGGAGATCGAACACTGGCACATTCCCTGTCGATCTGAAGATTGTCTGGTTTTCGGCAGTTTTCAGGCCGCCGGCTTCTTCGTTCAGCAGAAGCACGCACTCGAGGCCGAGCTTTGCTGCCACAACAGCAGTCTGGGCTGCATGATTACTCTGCAGGCCACCTTCGGTGACGATAGTGGTGACGCCAGGCTTCGCGAGGATATCCGGGATGATGTATTCCAGCTTGCGATACTTGTTACCGCAGCACAGCATAGGCGACGACTGATCGTCGCGCTTGATCCATGTCTGGATCGAGATCTTGTCATTGGATGCTGCCGTGGCTGACAGTGTAGTGAGTTGATGAATCGGCGACGGGGTGTCGTACCGAAGCCTGTAGCTCGGGAAACCCGATAGAGACAATGGTTGCTCTGGCATGTTGTCACTTGTGAAAGTGACTGAGTATCGTTAGAATCGATGGCAGAGTGGACAGACTAAGTGCGTCGGGATTGATGTCTCCATTCTTGCATGGGATCTAGCTAGTTAAATTGCGCTCTGAGCCCCCGCTCCATCGACAGGAAGGGCGTGTGGGATGGGGGTCAGCGAGCTTGCTGACGTGGGGTATCTACCTTAGTACTTCCGATGTTGCGAATATTACCCCACTACCATTGGATGCCTTCCGTGACATGCTGCATGTCTAGTCATCCGTCAAAAATATGTGAATTCGCAGCTTTCACGAGATGCTCAAGGCTTCGCTGGCACACATTCAATGCACGGTGCGATGATTTTTGGGCTTGACCTTGCCTTCTTGGGTAAGCTCTCCCGCTAATAGCAGCTCCGGTACGGTTGGCGCGTCTGAAGTTTGAACTTGGTCCCCTTCATGACCGGGTTGATAACACTTAGTCTCATGAGCCATGGTCTAACAGACATGGAAGGCGCCTAACGAGTTCCCAGATAATTGACACGTGGATGTCCAAGAGCCTAAGAGTCACTAGCCGTCACGCAGATGCAAGCAGCACCGAACCTTAGGTTGTAGTCTGAACAATCTGAAGTCCAGAGTAGACTAGAAGATTGAAGACGACATAATTAGGTCCAAGCGTTTCCCGTTTTCGATATGAGTCGAAATGTATCAATTCGATTTGGTATCACTGAAAAACAATCCCAGCCAGCTAGCTATATGCTCTGTAAAAATAATGCAATCAAGAAACTCTCCACGCGAAATGCTCCACAAGTGAAGAACAATAAATCTGGACTTCATGAGGATGGCTTGAAAGCCTTGGCCTGCGAAACAAAGCTTGCACGTCCTGTCGACTCGTCGAAGATATTGTACCCAATGTCCGCAGCATTAGGTGGGGTGTACACTGTGCATCAACGGTCAGAAATCGTCACTGTCCTGGCCTTTGAAGGAAACTTACAGTGCAGCGAAACCGCAACGTTCTGGGGATGCGGGTTGTGTACGCGATGAAGACCGATGTCGTCGGATATATAGGTCACTTGATCCGCTTGATATGTCCTCTCACTCTTGACTTTGAGAGGGACATTCTCTTTATCCGTGCTTGAAGGGGTATAATAGACCGTCTCCGTCAATTCCCCGGCTAGGACCTTCATGATGCAGTGGGCATTGGCATGGTCGTGAATTGGAGAACCCTTGAGAGGATTCCACACCAACAGGAGCTGCCAAGTTCGGTAAGAAAACGCATTGAAATTTATCAAGTTATTTAAGACTTACTATATTTGCCTTGTGGTTAATATTCTCAATGGCATTGCGGGTATAGTTCTTTCCCGGGCAATTATAGTAGTATCGGGCCCAATCGTTGGGGTTTGTCGCATATCTCTTGACGAGAGACATTAAGTAATCTTCATCAACATCTTCCGAACCAATGCCAGAGGAAGTTCCCAAATGTTCTTTGATGTCATTTACAAGGTCTTCAAGACTGTAAGCAGGTTCGGGGCTTGGGTGTGATAATGGCTGATCTCGCGGACCGGCCTGCATCAGAGGCAGTGGGGCGAATAGTGTGGCAGCGGACATGATGCTAAGAATAAGCTTAGGGGTTGAATGTGTGGAGCTGCTTCCGTAAAGAATTGGTTTGTCTTTCTTGTTAAAAAGAGGATTGAATGACGAGAAAATTGAGTTTCACTTCCAAGTGAACACCTCTGAACAATAGGTGTCATTGCAATTGGATGGGTTTGATATAAGAGCCGCTGTGTCTACCTCTTATCTCGCGGTCGATTGTGTCTGTTGGGGGCGCATTCGCCGACCGCCAGTCAATCGCCGATCAACGCAAGCCAAGTAACAAGCAGCATCATACAGACCGCAATAACTAACAAGACCACCTGCACGAAAATGAATGTCAGATGATAAGACAATATTAAGCTTTAGTGTCACATAAATGGGACCTGGACGTCCCATGATAAACACCTTACATCACACAGCGAAGCAGCCGTTACCACGATCAAAGCCCGACCGCGCTCAACGTGGCCCGGCGATCCCCGAGGGACAGCATCAGCTTGGCTGACGCTACAGGGTCTTAGCCTGCGCGATAAGATTACTAGCCAATCACAGATGTCGAGTCATGACCTGGATGGACCCCATGAGCAGTCAATCGGCGACTCAGCCGACGTCCAGGAGAAAATGAGAAGTTCATCTGTACTCTTTTTCCTTTGTCAGGACGACGTCTAGCCATCGCCGACCGAGGTCAAGCTAAACGTGCGCATCTTTTGCTGAGACTTGCGTTTCTTGAAGTCTTTCTTTATCATGACCGTGCCTCCAGCGAGAAGCACCAGGCAGACAGGCCTGGCCGCTCTCGCTTGCACTGGATGCAGAAAGCAGCACCTGAAATGCGATGCGAAGAAGCCGGTGTGCTCGAGATGCATCCAGAACGGAGAGACTTGCTACTATGAGCCCTCTAGGAGAGGCGGACGAAGGAAACCTCGCCCACAATCAATTGCATCGGAGGGACAAGGCACCTTGATGTCCGGTGATCGTCAGATGCGGGATGGGTCGAGCATCAATGCAACTGTTGCGCCGACCTCAACATCCAGAGAAGCCTCAACATGTGTTTCCTTATCTGGCGATGGCTCCCCAACAACGACTGCTGTTACTGATAGTGCGGTGACCGAGAGAGGACAGTTGCAGGCTCCAGCATCGGAACGCCGAAACATCGGATTTCATCCGGCGGCACCTAACTCAAGAGATGGGCCTCCTCCAGTCAATCCCGATGGTGATCTACTTTCATACCTCTCAGACATGACGACCGATCACTTATCGTGGTTTATGCCAACTCCGAGGGATACGTCCAATGGTACCCGATCTCACACAAACACTTCACACCGGCCCTCTTCTGAAAGCGATCGATATCGCCGGCTCTACTACGAAAACTTCCATACTGCGCATCCAATTCTCGTACCCGCGTCGATGTACGCTTCTCGAGCCTACCCTCACTATCTTCACCTTGCCGTCGACTTTGCCGGTTCCCACTATTCTCAGACGACTCCCAGCGAAAACTTGAGAAGTGACGTTGAAGCAGCGCTGGCTGCCAACACAGAACTTTCGACCTGCGCAGTCCAGGCGCTATTGATTTACTCCATCGTTTTGTTCTCCCGAGATGAAATCGAGGATGCTCACATCGCGTTTGGCCGGTGTGCTGAAATCGCCCTGGAAATTGGCATGAACCGTGCAGATTTTGCTTCTTCGAGGCACCCAGAGAACTCAGTCGAGGCCGAAAGCTTGAGGAGAACATGGTGGGAGCTCTTCGTCGCGGATGTTTTGATGGCGATCCCTCTGAAGACTATCTCCTTTCGGTGCAGTGCTGTGTCGCCGGAGGTTCCTTTGCCATGCGAAGAGTCGTTATATACCGGAAATTGCGAGCTCCCTGAGCCACGCAAAGTTCTCGAGTTCAAGAGGAGGATCTTGCTCGAAGAAGACGTTGTGTTCTCTTCGTTCAGCTACCGCATTGAAGCTGCAACCATTCTTGGCCGGGTGCTGGTTCTCAACCGCCTGAAAGATTACCACCGCGACCATTTGCAGGCCATCGAAAACGCGCTCGTCAGTTGGTCAAATCACCTGCCGATGGAGAAGATGGAAATCGTGGACCCATACGGAAACATGGATGAGATGATGTTCCAGGCGCATGTCATCATCGCTCATGCAAGTATGCTTCTCCACTTACCACGAAGCCGCTTCTACCCTCTGTTATCGAGCCCCCAAGACGACTTCATGCCCTACACGCATCTTCACTCTTCATCAGCATCAACGCGGCTCGTACAGAGCATCAAGGCTATGAACGCTTCAAGACGGCTATCGGACTACATCTCATTATGTCCAAACATTCAGAAACACACACCATTCATCATCCCGGCGCTCGCAATGGCTGGCCTCACTCAACTCGCCACGTCCAAAAACCACTCTGAAGAATGCTTCGACCATCACTACAACAGAGTGACATTAGTACTGGGCTGCTTGAAGAAGATGAAGCGGACGTGGCACCTGGCCGAGCCTGCATACCACCGGGTGCGATCATGTGCCGCGAGGTTGATCTCAGACTTGATGGACAAGCTCAACTCTGAACCTCTGTCAAAGTCTGCGGTGTTGACACAGTCAACGCCGCGTGAGTCTGAAGAGAACAACAGCCCCACGGCGGAAGCCGTACCAGCGGTTGCGCAAGTTCAGCTAGTGCCCGAGCTAGACCCCAGTTTCATTGATCCTATCTGTTACAACTATTCTCTGTTCAGCTCTTTACCGGAATTTCAGGACCGGTAGCTATTGATGAGGGCGCGTTACTCCCATGATGTTTTTGAGAATGATAGTATTTATAGCGTTACAGCGGTTTATGGTTTTTTAGGTGACGAACCTTGAACACGTCTATGAGCATGATTACCATGCTTTCACTAGTGCTGTCGTAGAGTCAAGAATACTGAAAGAGGGCCGACCTTTGCGGTGTGTACTGTGTGCTACGACAGATGCCTTCCCGGCTTTCATTTGGAGGATGTAATTTGCAGTTTTCATCTAACGGGGACATTTTCAAAAACAATGTGCACGCTTCTGAGGCTTGTAATGCAGGAACAAAGGAAAAGATAATAAGGTTGCTCAATCCCTCCTCCAAGACTTTTCACCGAGCCAACGAGTCAACTTGACAGCGTTTACATCCACCAATGCATTGAATACATCGCTTGCCCATAAGAGCGCGAGTGTGTTGACCAGGGTACCGTAGAAGAACGCAAGCTTGTACGTACCCCAAGCTGATTGCGTTAGGTCTAATGCGGCGGTGTCGTTGCCGCTCTCTGTGAGTTCCTTTGCCTGGCTTTGAGCTAGCTGCAGCGCGGCAAACGCCGGAGACAGCCATCTCACTCCGACCATGTGGTTTATGGCACCATGCCATAGATACAGAGAGTACGAGATGCGCCCTAGGTATTGGGCGAAGTTCGTGGTGAAAGGCCGCTGGAGAAGAGGTTCGGGCCTGGCTGCCTCACGATCCGAAAACGTTGCTGCTGCGAATTCTTCCTTGTCTCCATCGTTGAGGCTAGCACTGGTTTGGTGCCAAGGCAGGCGGAAGTTGCAAAGCTTCGGGAGCGGAAGTTGGAGATCAAAAGATACGGCCGGCGAGTACATCATGGCAAAGATGAACGCAATGGCGCCAACGGAGTTCCAGAAGAGCTGAGTCCGGTCTGCCGTAGCTTGATAGTAGGCAGGCACCCACTGGGAAAGTGTAATGAAACCCGGAGTCGACGAGCCGGAAAGCTCGGGGTATGAGAAAAGGTGCATGCCGAGGAAGAAGAGAGCCAAAGTACCCGCGTGGCGAAAGACATGGCCAATGGTGGGACCAAAATTCGTAATGATCGTTTTTCTGTAGCCGAGGGTCTCATCTTCGGGTGTCTCTGACGGCGGGCTGCCGTTGGGAAGGATGATGGAGATCTCTGCAAGTAACAGGCCTACACAAAAAAGAGCCTGGTCCCAGTCGCCGATGCGAACCAGCCAGAAGGCTGTGCCCACGACGCCGACCATGTGAATCCACCGTTTTGCCCGAGCAAAGATAAGGAGAAGGAAGAATACGAGCAGCGAACCTTTGAACTCGACAGGGATTGTCCATAGATGCCCGTCATACTCGCTTCCTTTCATGTTCTCTCTGTTGACAATGGGTCGAAACGGGTTCATTAGATCGATCGTGCTCCAGAACCAGTGTTGCAGCTGTTGGTCCAAGGTCTCCCCTCTCGGCGGGACAGGTGCTCCCGACGGATCCCTCACATAGTCCCCCCCATAGACCAGCAGAGCGATGATGAATGTCGAAGCAAAGATGGGAAGGTACAGTCGGAAAGGGCGGCGGAACGCGGATCCAGCTAGTGCACTCAGAGCCTGGTCCATCTTGCCGTTGTGGATCATCGCCAGGGTCTTGAGGGTGAGAACGAAGCCCGAGATGACGAAGAAGACAGTGACACTAGCTCGTCCGGAGTGCAGAGCCCGGATGATAGGCAACTGCCAGAACATGTGATGAACATCGAAGCCGTATCCCCAGCGAAGGTCTGGAAACCAGAGGTAAGAATAATGGAAGATGTAAACGACAAATGCTGCGACACCGCGGAGGCCATCGAGATATGCTGTTTGGCCAAGCTTTCGGCGCCGAGGTCTGTTGCTAGGGGCCCTGGTGAAGTATATGAATGGGCTGACGACGAAAGCAGGAAGGAGAAGGGCAGAGAGCTCCAAGGCGGAAAGAAAGCGATCTTTCCATGTGAGGGTACCAGTGGAGTATTGATGCTTGTCAAGGAAAGATAAAACTGAGTCTTTCGCAGATCTTAGCAAAACGAAGGAGGCGTATTTATGATTTGTGTTATCGCTGGTCTCGTCCACCGGCTCTGTTGATTGTGAAAATTGGCCATTGTGCTCCGCAATGAGAGAGTATTGTTCGTACGTGTCTTGTGGTGCGTGCGAGAATGGGTTTGAGAAGTGCATAATGAGGATTGATTAAAGTAAGAAATACAGATTCAACACCTGCTGGAGAGTAGGAGAAGTAACCTCAGCCAAAGCATGGAATCTACAGTGATGTTCCCGGGATGTTATATCCCATTGAGTGCGAGTTGACGCCAAAAGATACAAGCCCGCTTTTCCTCCAAATTCCATGTGGACTGCTGCTGAGTGGCTTAAAAAAAGAGTTAGTGCCGTTTTTTAGTTAACTACTGATTGGCATTTTCCGCACCTTAGCAAAAGTGGCGTCAACTCGCACATCAATGCCACGGCGAAAGCGTGCAGCACGAAGTATACGTGCTAACATTGTCTATCCGTGGCGATGTGTCTCCCTTCATCACATCACGCCCACTCAGAGCTGGCCCGCATTCAAATCAAGGAAAGAATGCGTGAGGAAGCAGCAAAGGAATCTCGGAAGGAATCTAGGAAGGGGCCTAGGAATTATGGTGGACCTGGTTCGCCACGCTGTGTCTCGCCATAAGCTTCTCCCTCCAGCGAGATCTCTACCGTGGCGCGAGTGAACCGTAGGCGGAGCGCAGGGAGCATATTTTAGTGCATCGCTTTCGAGTCTAGTACTTGGCCAGGAACGTGATAACATTCGTCGCTGCACTTCACCAGCAAGCCCTGCATCACATGGAATGACCTGTGTTGGAGGAGTGCTTGCACTCTTCTCCATCCCTCGCTCGCAACCTCAGCAGCCGCCCTTCCACATGCCGCCTACCGCAATCCTTGCCCCCCTCTGCACTTCATACTTCAAGTTTACCAATTCCCATCAGTTTTCCTTCGTTATTATTGATCAGCATGCGCCATTCCTTCACGATGAAACTGTTCAAGGTTGCTGCTTTCTGTTCGAGCGCTATTTCCGACTTCAGACGGCTGCCAAATTCGCCTAACCACGCGTCGTAGTCAATCTTCAGTGATACCTGCCAATCCAGAGTGCATTCGATGCTCTTAGCCTTGTTGCTGAACTCCCTACCGAATGCGTGGCAATTGTCGGTCGCTTACAACAACACTGCGCTCATAGGACCACCATCTGGCTCTTGGTTCTGCCTCACTATTCTTCTGGTTTCCTACTTTTTTTCCTGTTTTTTAAACCATCAATGGTGGATGCTGCTGACCCTCCCGTCGTCTTCAGCAGTAAATTGAACCTCCCGCAATAGCATCTTCAGGTGGGTGAGCAATACCGGACGAGTTCCGGCGCTGTAGCACTGAAGGCTGGAACTTAGCCCTACATGAATCGTCGTCTCTTCATCATTTGCTATGGAGATACAGGATCTCCATTGTCTCTCTCGTTGTTTCGGCTCTTCCTCTTCGTCAACTGGGGAGAGGGGCGGGAAGTGGTAGCAGACGAGGATAGAGGAATCGATTCTCCGACGACACTGTTGTTGCAAAGTAAACTCGGCAAAGATGCTGCTGGTAGTAGAGCAGGGGCGCTCTGGGGAGGTCAACTTTTGAAAACCCGTGAGGATGCGCGAAATCTGGGATGCTGTTGAGTATCATCACCTCTATAGTCAGCAACCTCTTCTTCTTGGACAGCCTCGTTATGGATAGAGTCTGGGTTGATGGGGACGCAGGATCCTGGTTTCGACGGGGGTCGTCTTGTCTAGCCAACATAGGTCAATGAGTTCGGTGTCCGTATGCTCTGTGTTGTGCTCTTTCTCATCCTCCTACAGTCGAGTCCTGTCTACCGAACTACTTGCAGTTTCGCGGCTCTGCTCTTTCTCCCTCTTATCGACAAAGTTTTGGACGAGATGGATGATGCAGATGGATTTAGGTGACCTTAAACTCGCTGGTACACCATCCAGGAGAATTCGCAATATAGCAGCGTGGACAATGGTCGGGTGATCGCCTGTACTTGTTGGACTGACGTTGAGCACCAAATGAATCACCGTACCAACTATGAATTTGGTGTCATATACGGATGCACTTGTGTTCACATGGCTCAGATGGCACAACTTATTCAGGTTTCTTAATGCCTCTGCTCCCACTCTATCCTGATACTTTCGCTTATACTTACCTAGCATACTCATCAAAGAAAGTTACTATGCAATCAAATAATATACCCCAACAGAAATGCAAAACGCTTTTTAATAAAGTGCCAAGGAGTCTCTATCCATATTATAGTCTTACTGATGCCCTCCAAAGCGAGGGCATAACCATATCGCCAGTGTTCCTCTAAGCAAACAGCTAATTTCAGCCTAAGTATCATTTATCTCGTTAATACGCTCATACTTCCACGTAGCAAGTCGATCGTGTGACTCGTTTTCTATAGCTGCGGTTTTAGAATATTCAACAACGTTATGATGGAATGCCTGAAGATTTTGCACAGCACTCAACCAGGTGTTAAAGCCATCGTGAAACAAGGTGAACAAAACCTCAGGAGGGAGATGAAACTTCCACCACGGCATTCGGTATTCAGTCTCAGTGGCGTAATCGATATCTGGGAGCTGCGCGTGCATGTTTGCGACCAGAATATCGAGTCTCGGTATGAAGAGGAAACGGTACGGCCTGTATTAAAGGGAAAAAGCCAAGTCAGGTGTGAACATGTTCGGTGATGAGTCATGTGCTGTAGCACTTGAACTGAGCGAATTACGTCCTCGCACCAGCGGCGTATCGATATTGAAAGTCGAGGCCAGGCTAGTATGTACTACGCGCATCTGTTCGGAGGAGAAAGCGGCGCTTCCTTTACCCCAGAGATTGAGGGACGTGAAGACTTTACCGTCTCAAGTACCGCTGGCCTCACCTGAGAACCGACAATAAAGTACCTCAACACCAGCTCAAAGACTTATGGCTAGTGTTATCTGGAGCCGCAGACACTATGGGATGTGATATTCCGGCTTAGAAGCAAACAGTCGGCCCTGCGCTGCTCGATCCATCTATCCATCCACCCGACCCACCGCGCGTCGATCAGTTTTCGCAGATGTTACCCTCGAGGTCAATACCCCACGTTCGCACTAGAACACCATCGTCATCCCTATCCAGTACAATACCTTCACTAAGCAGCACCGCAGCAAACTTACTAAGTTTAATCAAGTAATTACAAAGCCATCAGCGGTCAATTAAACTCAATCTTAGAGGCTAAACTTAATTAATTGCCTTTAGGTGTTCAGAAAAAGCCCCTTTTAGCCTGACCCGTTCTATTCTGTGGATAAGGCTTGGAAGCTTTTTGAGAGGTCGATCAACGGAGGCAAGCACTTAGAGGAGTGCTTTGTTTCTCGCATTTAAGTGGTCTTTTGGGGGCTTCACGTAGTCGGACTTCGGATTTCTCTGAGGCTCCTTCGGGAGACACCAATACTTTTGCGTCTGGTGAATACGACTAGCGCATTGGGATAGGGAGTGGGGGTTCAGACCAGGGTACATTGAAAATGTTTGGTCGGCCTTTGCAAGAGGTAGACGTCAGGATCATACTAAATCATCTCTAAAGAACCTTTGGTACGTCAACGTCGCTGCTCAGGGCGGCTCTAATTCTCTCTCTGAACAATCCATCATCCTCGATGCCACCACGCGTCCTGGCGGGTCTTCCGTCGGCACGGTCATCATTAAGCAGTCAGGGCGCGATATAGGCTTTCATATCATGGTTCATTCTCGCTCTACAGACAAGATTGCGTGACAGTAGATGCCTAACGGTGAACGAAAGGCGCTAGATGTTGACGAGAGCGTCCACATGATGAATGCTGCATGCTGAGAAAAAAGAAATGCAGGGACCCGCTGACAAACGCGTATCACGGCACGGGCCGTATGAATACAGCGGAGGGCCATTTACAACGGCGCTGGCAGCAAACAGAACACTGGAAAAAAATTCTCCGCGGCAGCCGTTTGTCTTCATTTCGCTTGCATCAGGCCAACAAGTCCGCAACACGGACCCCGACAACGACGCGACAAACATCAACAAGAAGGACGCCGCAACACCCATCAACCATACTTAGTCTCAGCCACCTCGCCTCCATGTATAAGCTTAGTAGGCTTGCCATTATCTGATAGCACTTTCATTCCGCCATAAGTTATGTTCATTCGTCGCGATGGCAGTGCAGCGACACTGCTCGCCGATGCTACCGAGAGTTCGCGTGGATCGCCGGCGTCACCCCCGAAGCAAACAGAAGCAACTCCTCGTGACCATTAGACTGCGCAAAGAAGCCGAAGACTGCATCTATGTTTGCACGAAGCCTCATTCAAGATTAAGTCGATCGCCGGAGCCACCGGAGCGATTGATCGTCACCCTGCGTTATCCGCGTCCTAAGATCTGCCCCAAGATCATCCCAATACCTCCATCGCACCGGCGTGTCGTGTTGGAAAGTGACTCGGAGAACGACTGGGACAGCGACTTGGACACCGATTTTGAAAGCGATTTGGAAACTGTTTTACCAAGCGAAAGCGATGCCGATGACAAGAAAGCACTATTTCATTCTCCGACGCCTAGTGTAAGAGTACCAATTGATTCTTGCCCACGCCCGGAGTTGCGCTAATTTTTGGTAGTCTGCAGAGAGTCCAGCCCCGCAGCCTCAAAAACCGTTGCGTTGCTTAGAGGA